TTTTGTTTGACCTTTAGCTAAAGACTACCTTTATGATGTAACTGATTTTTCTACTCTGTTGGAGGTCACTTAAAAAGGTTTAATTGTTGCTCTTTGAAAGGTCACTATTAGTAATTCTTTCAAGCCCCTCTTTGCAAAGTAAAGTGCTGATTAGCATTACTTTCAATCCTACCAGGATGTGACTTCACCACTAATATCCACATGACGTTCAGAGAATATATCAAAATATTGTCTAACTAAATAAGATTCAAATGAACTGGGGTAAATTATACTGAGTTATTTTATTTTATTGCTGTACAACAATAATTTGTGGCTCTTTTGTTATTAATTCACCCCAAAATGAGATGGGCAGGTAATCTAACAAGGGCAAAACAGAAAAGGGAGAACAAATCCTAGGCAAAAACAATATTTTCCATCTGCTCACCTTGAACGGCTTATATTTTTTTTAATGGAAAAACATGGAAAAGCTTGTTTCAGTTGGTGGAGTATTTTGAAGAAATAAGTCTCAAACATATTGGGTTAGATCGTGAAGAAGAGCCAGAGGGTTGGAATCAGATTTAGTTTTATTCAGTAGAGTGATGCATGATTCAAAAACAATATTTTGGGAGAAACATTGCAAATTGCATCTCCTGCTATTCACTGAAAGCAACTCCTGCTATTTATTGAAGGATACTGATTTTTTTTTGGTTTGTGCATAGACCAGAAAAAAGAGGTGATGCTACTTTTTAAATTGCTTCAACCATAAAGTGTGGATTCTTTAAAGCAGGGGTGAGGAATGACTTGTGGACTTCAACTCCCAGAATGTCTAAGCTAGCCATGCTGGGAGTTGAAGTCCACAAGTCATAAAGGGCCCATAGTTCCCCATCTCTGCTTTAAAGCATTGGAATCTTTCTAGCACTTTTTTTTCCCTGGCTCCTATTGTAACTTGAAAAAAAATCGGTTCAGTGAACAGTAAAAAAAATACCATATTTAAGCAAGGACTAAAACATGTAGTTTGATCATTTTGAAAGACCTATTATGTTGAGATAATTAAAAAATAAAGGTTAGCCTTTTGATGGCTATTGGGTGTCTATTATCTCTATAATCTTATCATCCAGCTGTTAGAATTAAAAAATGGACAGGGGATGTTATCTCATTTTCTGCCAGGGTTACACAGAAACCTGGATTTTACAGAACTTTATCCTGACCCAACAGATGTTGCCTTAAATCACATGAGACCCTTTCCAAGAGGATTAAATCTAGGTCTAATTCTGATAGGGACGGAGAGGACTGAAATAGAGAGGAAAATATGGAACCAAAACAGAGTTATTTTTCATGACAATTGGACAAAATTGTTATGAGCCATTTAAGATACAGGTAGTCCCCGACTTATGATCACAATTGAGGCTAAAATTTCTGTTCCTAAGCAAGGCAGTGGTTAAGTGAGTTTTCCCCATTTTACAATCTTTTTGCCATAGTGGTAAAGCAAATCACTGCCGTTATTAAGTGAACCATGCAGTCATTAGATGAATCTAGCTTCCTTCATTGACTTTGCTCGTCGGAAGTCAGGTGAGAAGGTTACAAATGGTGATCACACGACACCAGGACAGTGCAACTGTCATAAATACATGCCAGTTGTCAAGAGCCCAAATTTTGATCAGACAACAATTGGGGATACTACAACAATTGCATGTGTGGGAACAGCAAGTCACTTGTTTCAGTTCTGCTGCATCATCGAATGATGATTAAATGAATGGTCATAGGTTGAGAACTACCTGTTTCTTTGTTGTAAAGAAAAGTGGGCAATCACAATATTATTTTCTGAAAGGCCATTGTTGTTCAGAAGCCAGCTACTGTATTTTTCGGAGTATAAGACACTCTTTTTCCCCCATAAAAGAGGGTGAAAATTTGGTTGCATCTTATTCAGCAAATGTAGCCCCCCCATCTGCCCTCCCCAAAATTGGGGTGTGTGGAGGCGGCAATAGGCTATGGCAATCCCTGCAGCCTGAAACAGCTGATCTTTGGGAGGCCGATCCAACCGACAATCAGCTGCTTGTGCTAATCAGGCTCTGCTGAAGCTGAAATTGAAATGGGCTGTTTGCTGCAAGGAGGCAAATTGCTGGGAGGCAGAGGCAGATTTTTTTTTCTTGTTTTCCTCCCCAAAAAAGATAGGTACTGTATGTCTTATAGTCTGGAGTGTCTTATACTCTGAAAAATATAGCTTGCTTGCTTGCTTGCTTGCTTGCTTGCTTGCTTGCTTGCTTGCTTATTTATTTATTTATTTATTTATTTATTTATTTATTTATTTATTTATTTTTGATTGATTGATTGATTGATTGCATTTTTATGCCGCCCAACTCCCTAGGGACTCTGGGCGGCTTACAGCAAAAAACAATGCGAACAATATCCCGTAAAAATTTTTTGTATTCATTTTTATATTTATTTTTATATATTGAAATGGGCAATCTCCTTTTACTTGCTTCATCGCTTTAGGCCAACCACTTTTATGTTAGAACCTGTGGAATAGTGAAGTAAAAGAGAACCACTGTTCTACCATTCTCCAAAGCCTTATTAACTCCCAGTTACAAGATGAGATTAAAAATAGCAACCATTTTCCGGTATCATCTTCCTTGCATGTTTATTGAACACAGGGTGACTGCAGGCTCTGCCAATGACTTGCAGATCTGTAATATATGGTTTCGTCTTTGTCTCTGTGTATCTCTGTATACGTGTCTCTGCACGTGCATGCATAAGTGTCTGTGCCTGTGTCTGTAGCTGTACCTGTAGCTGTAATGGCACAAACTCACCACAGCTAATTTACCATCGGACAACTCACTGAGGGACAATTCTGCAATTCAATTGAATTATTTAAAACAAATAAAAATTATTTTAATTTTTATCATTCATATTTCATTCTGTCCCTCCTTTTTCATCCCTTCTTTAATGATTCTGTTCCACCCTTTCTTTGATCTTAGTGTAACCCTTTTCTTGCAGTGAGTTGTCGTGCAACGAGTTGGCCGTGATGAGTTGGCTATGTGAGTTAGTTGTGGAGAATTGTCATAGACATATATGTATATGGCATTCGCCATAGAAAGTAAAGCCATCGTATCTGAAGTGCAAAACTCCAGACAATCATTACAGTAGACAGTGCCAAAGACATTATTTGATGCTATGTAGTAGTTGTCCAGATTTTACAGTTCTCTTTTACTCAAGGGTGGGGGAAAACAGAGCTTATGACTATAATGACAATATCCTCATATCATATATATTTAACAAAGCTGTGTATTTAAAAAATTAAAAGAACCTCAGCATCCAAGTGGGTTGGAGATACAGTACAAAGTAAAGAGGTAATGATACTGATGGGTACTTTCTAACCCTTTCCAAGGTTGCTTAATTGAATCTCCTTAACTTTCTTTCCATTGTTACAGGTAAATGCAAAATAACTATTCATATGTCATTACAATGTATAACTTTCATATCCTATCAGAGGAAAAAAAATCATTCTATAAATCAGGCAAGAGGCCTACAATTTTTTGCCATGCTGCTTCCATCAAGAAAAGGCCAAACTTGGACAACTGGCCAAAGTTCTTGTCTCAGTGCTGGTTCAAGGATAAAGAACGCCCCTAACCTATATTGATTGATAGTGCCACCTCCAGTCACTGCAAAGAATTGCTTTTTTAGAATCATTTTTAGAATGATTCAGAAGGAGAGGCAGTATTTGGTATCCTCTAAACTTTGGTACCCAGGACAAGTACTTACTCAGCCAGTAATTTATTTCACCTAAAGGCGGCCTATCTCATGTTATGCTACTAATATGTCACTTCCTTTTTGTCTGCTAATTGTGAAAGTTGGATTGTTCCATTATTCGTAGATATTTGAAGAAGAGATGTTGCCCACAGGATGGGCCAGCATCATGGCTGGTATGAGAACTGTATTTGAAAACCATTGCAATTTTTCCTCAGTCTTTGGCCAGAAAATTGTTTAATTTACACATAAAAAAACATTTATAAAAAACATACACATTTACATATTAAAAAAACCTGCAGAAAAAATAATTGCTACCAACCTGCCTTCCATTGAGGATCTGTATACTGCACGAGTCAAAAAGAGGACTGTGAAAATATCTACAGACCCCTCACATCCTGGACATAAATTGTTTCAATTTCTACCCTCAAAACTATGCTATAGGGCACTGCACACCAGAACAACTAGACACAAGGACAGTTTTTTCCCGAATGCCATCACTCTGCTAAATAACTTATTCCCACAACACTGTCAAACTATTTACTAAGACTGTATTACTAATCTTCTTCTCATCCTTCCTATTACCTATCTCCTCCCACTTATGACTATAACCATGTTGCTGGTATTTTTATGATTTATATTGTTCTGTTTGTTTCCTAGTATGATTTGATTGCTTATTAGTAACCTATGACTATCACTAAGTGTTGTATGTTATAATTACCTATCTCCTCCCACTCATGGCTATAACCATGTTGCTTGTATTTTTCCAATTTGTATTGTTCTGTTTGTTTCCTAGTATAATTTGATTGCTTATTAGTAACCTATGACTATCATTAAGTGTTGTATCTTATGATTCTTGATGAATGTATTTTTTCTTTTTTTTCCTTTTATGTACACTGAGAGCATATGCACCAAAGATAAATTCCTTGTGTGTCCAATCACACTTGGCCGATAAAAAATTCTATTCTATTCTATAAAAACAAGTAATGAATAAATAAATTCCTCAAAGTTAAAAATAGTTTCAAATCAATGACTTTTTTAAAAAAAAATTACTAACACTTGCATCACAAAGATTCACCATTGTGTCTCATTGAGTGGGATTTAATTACCAATTTTCAAACAGGTTTTGAGATTTTTTTTCCTTCTAAATTTCTCAGAGAAACTCTAGTCTAGGTTCCTGAGCAAATGGATTCTAAGACTCTTTCTTGGTTGGTATGCAACAGAGTGAGAACAAGGAAAGATAAGTGGTTAGAATCAGAATAATTGTTAAAGCATACCTGATGGAGAAATATGTCTCCAAGAGATGGAAGGATCAGGTTTCCCTGTAGCTAAACAGGCCAGTGTGATGTTGCTTCCTTCATTCGCCACAATATCATTTGAGATATGACTTATCTTTGGAGAAACTGAAATGAAAGAATACAAAGCAATGAAATATTTCCTTATTCATGAAATTCCTTTAAGTTAATTAATTTAACAATGTCATCATAGTTAACAATAGGATATTTGTATATGGTACCTTTCCTGATCCAATAGCCTTCAGATGAATTGGATTTCATATCACATTATTCCAAACAACAACCATCCTTGTTCCAAAATTGTAATATCCAGAAAAATAAATTTTATGAGCCACCGAAACTGAGAACTTCAACATGAAGTACTATTTCTGAGGCATTCTATTAGCACTCTACATTGTGTTTTGGCTGATACAACATTTAGTCTTACAGAGCTGCATGTATTCCAGGAATTCTGATTGTTTCACGACATATCAAGGAATGACTTCTTCAGTGAGGAATGTTTCTATATTTCGAGACTTTGTATATACTTTACACAGTATTGAAGTTGGAGGAAACAGATTCTTTACTTGAATCTGTTCTAGTAAATTGACTATTGTAGTATTCCTGTAATAAATGTTCATGAATTTTATCCAACTCATCTTATCTTTATAAAAGTCTAATGAGTTAGTTTAGGCTGAAAAATAGTGACTGGTCCAAAATCACAAAATGGATTTCATAGACCAACATAGGTTGAAACCTGGGCTTTCCCAGATTTGAGTTGTAGATTATAGCAGTGTCACAGTGTAATGGATAGAGTTTTCAGAGGTTGCATACAGCCAGGAAGGACATTGGTGCACAAACATCCCTACAAACATGTATTGCTTTCCATCTTATAGGTGGATAGAGATGTGAGCTCTCATCAGTTTTTCATTGGAAGGGGTGATAATTATTTCTGATTATTTATTGTTCAATTTATTTGCTGCTCATTTCACTATGGGGTTATTTTGGGTGGCTTTATTACAACCAGGAACACCTGATTTCAACTAGTATTTACCTTACAATAGCCCCCTACAAAAAGTCACATACATCTTCTTGATATATTATTCCTGCAGAGGAAAGTAGAGGAAACAAGATTTTCCCATTCCCTCTTCCTGGAAACTTGACCATTATTGCAGTCCTACCTAGTATATACCGTATTTTTCAGACTGTAAGATGTACCGGAGCATAAGATTTCAAAAAGGTAAACAAGAAAAAAAGTTTTTGCTGTCCCCGGCCCCCAGGAGCACTCTGCAGGCCTCCCAAACCCTCTGTACATCCCATTTTTGCAAAAAATGGGTCTGTTTTTTGCAAAAATGGGATGCACAGAGGGTTTGGGAGGCCTGAAGAGTGCTCCTGGGGGCTGGGGAGGACAAAAACGTGATGTGTGGAGGGTTTGGGAGGCCAAAAATGGGCCTTTTTTTGCAAAAACGGGGCCTGCAGCGGGCTGGGAGGCCTGCAGAGTGATCCTGGGGACTGGGGAGGGCAAAAACACCCCCATTTTTATGAAAAATGGGCCCATTTCTACGAAAAATGGGCCCGTTTTTGGCCTCTCAAATCCCCCACGCATTGTGTTTTTGCCCTCCCCAGCCCCCCAGGAGCACTCTGCAGGCCTCCCAAACCCTCTGTGCATCTCATTTTTGTGAAAAATGGGCCTGTTTTTACAGAAAACAGATGCGTGGGGTGGGGTTTCAGGAGGCCAAAAATGGCTGTATTTGTTGTATAAAACACACCAACATTTCCACCCTTTTAGGGGGGGAAAAGTGTGTCTTATACTCTGAAAAGTACAATAAGTATTTCCCAATAAGATCAGGGTTTTCTTTTCTATCAGGGGGATTGTTATCACAGGGTAATGTGCTAAATTATTTCACATAGCACTGAAGTAAGTGGTAGCCAGGCCTTAGCTGGAGTATGTGGAAGCGGCTCGTTTTCTTTCTCTCTCATGCTCCTTTTTCTAGTTTTCTTTCTGACATCTCTCTGTCTCTCCCCACTTTCTCTGCCTCTTATATTATATTTTCCAGATATTAATATATTTCCAAACATTCAGGATCCACCACCTGCTCTTTTCTGCCTTTTACCAACAGTACCTCCAAAGTGAGGAGGAATCAATATTTAGATGGTCAGAATATGGTGTGGTCTTCTAATGATCACCAGTACATGGAGAGAGAGAAAAAAACAACAACACCCAGCTCTAATGATATGTATCAAGTTCCCTTGGTTAAACAGCTCTATAAAAATTATACAGCAGCAGAATCAATAAAAAATAATTCTAACCAGCTTTTATTTCACAAGAGTGCTTGCAAGGTTACATCAACGCACACCGATCAATTCAAGGCAGTCTTCCAGGATAGACAGGAGTGCAAGGAATGTTTATTGAATCTAGCCTCAGAACATCACCCTTTTTGCGCTGCCTCCTTGGAAAGCAACCGTTCAGCATTTTTCATGCCGTTTTAATTTTTTGCCTTTTAAAATTTATGCTAAGTACCATTTCTCAGTAGATAGGAGGGGCGTTGCTCCATTTTGCTTCCCAGAGATGGGAAAAGAATTTGACAACATCTCCTGTTTATTTCTACAGTACAATTTGTGGGCACAGTTTCAGTGATTGATTTTTCCCAAGGCGACTTACATTTGAAGTGCTGCGTAACAACAAATGACACGGTAAACACTTGGAAGGACCAAGCTGTGCAAAGCCACTTTTAGTCCTCTGGGAGTCTTTAAAGGGAGCAGAGTGTGGATTGTTGCCAGATTCAAGCATTCTAAGAAGGGATTTCTGCATACAGGAACATGGACTATGCCTTAATTTCTTTGCAGCCCTCATTCTTTTCCTACTGTGCCCACTGGAACCTCAATAGGTGGAGAGAGCATCTCTCTAATATCTGTTCCTGGAAAGAGATGAAAGGAAAATGATGTATTCATGTCCTACATGTTGCCCTGCAGGAAACTGAATAGTGGAGAAGTAGTTCTTCTTCTTCTTCTTCTTCTTCTTCTTCTTCTTCTTCTTCTTCTTTTCTTCTTTCTTCTTCTTCTTCTTCTTCTTCTTCTTCTTCTTCTTCTTCTTCTTCCTCTTGCTCTTGCTCTTGCTCTTCCTCTCCTCCTCCTCCTCCTCCTTTTCCTTCTTCTGCCTTCTTCCATCTTCCTCTTTTTTCTTCCTCTTTGTCCTGTTTTCCTCTTACTTCTTTTTTCTCCTTCCTCTCTTTCTTCTTCTCCTTCTCCCCCTTTCCTCCCCCTCCTTTATTTTATCTAAATGCTGCTGCATGGGGGAAACCTCATTTTTAAAAAGTATAAAAGCTATCTTGGTGGCTTGGCTGAATATACTGAATAAAAAGAAGACTGAGTTTAAATTGCTTTAAATGCAGAGGCAGTTATTCTTAAGAGGTGTGGAATGCCCTGATGATGAAGTAAGTAAGATGTGCGTATTTGTTGTTCCTAAAACTCTGTGTTAATCCGGACTCTATTTGCCCCTCAAAACAGATTTATGTGCCACAAGCTGCAGAAGAGGCTTCAACAGATACTGTACTAGGTTATCAATACCAGGACTGACATTTATCCTATATTGTTTTATTTACAGGGAGGGTTTATTAAACATTGTCTCTTAGCTATTTAAAGTATTTGGAGATTTGGCATATCCTCAGATAATATAGCCTCAAATTTCTCCCTCCTCCTCTAAAAAATATAATCATTCAAGAACTTGTTCATAGACTGTATATTAGAAATATAAATTAATGCCAGACTACTCTATTGAGCATGTCAATGCTTTAACAAATTCAAAATGTCCCTCCCTTCAACAGAATTGCTGTCCTAATCATCTGGATCAGATCATTTTTACACTTGGCAAATTTATATACCATTAATTTGCCGGTAACTATTTTCATAATTAACCATTACTACATCTTGTTCCTCCAGAGTTCAGAGCTTCTTTTGTACTGACTAAACCACTGCAGTTTAGATAGCATTTGATTCTCATAGTTAAACAAATATGAAACCTAATTAAACAGAGACACACTCATTGTTTCTTGTTTCTCCTTTGCAATTCGATTTAAAAAGCAAGTTTTGCATTAAAGTTATGTCCAAATGGTTCAAAAGCATCAAACAAAAAGACAAGTGTCAAACTGGAGAAAAGTTGATAATTTTATCAATAATTTTCTTGAAAAGTAGGAAGTGTACAGAAGACTAGAGATTAAGGTGCTGGATTGGCCCAATCCACCATATGTACTGCTTGTATTTTTTCAATCATTTCCAGATTTCCTTGCTTCATCAGTAGAGAGTTATATTAATGCACAATCCATTGGCAGATTGTACAAATGTTTAAACTTCATGTGAATACTATTTTATAATTCAGGAGAAAAAGCAGAAGATAAACTTTTTTTTTTAAAAAAATAATTCTATGATATAACTCCCTCATCTTGTTATATATGTAAATAGAGATGTGTGGGTTTCATTTTGACTAGCTAACTTTCAATGAAGGAAAAACCGGAGCAAAATGCAGAAATTAAAATGTAATTGCACAGCTTGCCACAACTTCGTTAAAGTGTTACATTCAACAGCGCTATCTGAAGTGAGAACAGCAGCAGAAATATATTCTACAGCAAGTGTCAGTGGCAGAAAAAGTACAGCTGACAATTAGCAACCACCTCATCCTTAGGACTCAGTCTCCTGTACACTTCAGAGTCTGTTTTAACCAGGAGTGTCCACCAGATGTGGCGAAAATACTCAAGATAAGTGGCCACAATGTTGCGACTGAAAATCCACGTACATAATATAAGCCAGGCTTCAATCACATCCTTGGCCATCATCTTGACTTCATTGCCAACACTCGGAGAACACCTTGGTTAATAGGCATAATAGGCACATTTCACAAAAACCTAAAGCAAATCACTGGGCTAACATATTTGAGCACTGTGTATTCTTAAAAGAACAGGGTTAAAAATTCCTTTATCATACTCTGCACCGAAAACAACTCTTTTGATATATTTTTTATACCAAGCTTGGACAGCATAGAATGCAAAGTCCTTAGTGCTACCTTACTAAGTTGCAAAGCATACTACTGACAGCAGTGTTGTGATCTGCCAAGTGAATTCATTATTACCCAGGCA